CTGCATGGCTGGGCGGATGTAAAAGGAGGGGGGTAGGGGTTGTGGGGATGCAGATGGTGCAATCGCACCCCGAAATTGCATTAAGAAAAATAAATGTTGAGGTCCATATTCTAAAAATTGTCCATGAATTAGTGGTTAACGTCCATATAAAGCTTGGTTTCCATATAATCGCTACAAGCTATCACTGACGTCTTTCGATGATGCTGACTGGTCGGTCAAATTGGTAGCTTTCCAGATTGTGTTGGTTACTACGCAGTATACGGTACGACTTCACTGAAAATGCTGTAGCGACAATGTCGCACGATTTTAGAGAAACCAGGCTTAACTTTTCCTTTTTTTTAAAGTTCGAACAAAAAGAGGGTGCTCAGGTACCATGGACACAGTGGTGGCATCAGGGGGGAGGGGCAGCAGGGGCTTAAGCCCCCACCTGACAGAGCTCGTCGGGCAATCCTACTAAAAAAAATTAAAAAAAATAGGCCAATGCCAAGCCAACACATGCCTGTCAGAGTTTGAGAATATTTCTGGCCATCCAGGGTTATTCTCCTTAAAAAAAAACCCTTTCCCAGCTTAGGCCTACGAGCTCAAGTCCCCCTGTCGGACAGCTTAGCGCCTCCCCTTCCCCCACAGAAAATATATCCTGCCGCCACTGTTCGGCAATAAAATATTCCTTGGTAGGGCTCGGGGAAAGTTTTCATGGCTAGTATTGTCCAAATGACCTCAATATTAGGGATTGGCAATTAAAATAACGTTATTTGTATATATAGGCAAATTATTATTTTATTTTTGATCTGACGACCTTTGACTCTAAAACCACGTACCAATAATAACAGTTAAAACAATCCAGAATTTTTTTGGCGTAACGATAAGACACGGGGAATGTGTTGGAGGTGCCATGCACGTTAGTAATAGATTAGCCCTACAAGGGACGCCCTTCATAGCAGACTATAAAAAATATACCATACCATAGCATGTTATATTACAAACTTGATTTGTATTCTCTGTGAATTCCAGTTGCCTTTTCTTAATTACTTTAACATTTCAGTTAGTGGAGCTTCGACTTTGGAACGCATGGCTTGGGAATGATGTTAAATAAAAGTATTGTCATGCCAGTCCACATTGGGCATTCTTTAGTTAAACACAAGGAAACATAGTTTTAATTTGCTAGTTACAGTATATTCTCTTTAGATGAGTGCTGTGTAATAAAAGAAGGGACCCTTCAGGGCCAGGGGCCCGGGCCTTCAACCATAAGTGTTACGCTACTATATTCTGATTTAACAGGGATATGTACGGAAGCGTATTGCTGCCAACTAAAAAAATAAATTTTAGATATTATCTCGTTATTACGAGATATTATCTCGTTATTATGAGATATTATCTCGTTATTACGAGATATTATCTCGTAATTACGAGATACTATCTCGTAATAACGAGATAATATCTGAATTTTTTTTTTTTTTTTTAGTTGGCAGCAATACGCTTCTGTAGATATGCATTGGAAAATTAAAAAAAACAAAAACAAAAAAAAAACAAACATTGATTATTATAACAATTACAAAATATTATCAACGTTATTAAAAATATATAAATTGTAATCAAAAGAGTATAAAATCATAACAAAATTTGTTTTTGTAATTGTGATAAAAGGGTAAAAAAAAATAAAAGGCATCAGTTACAGAACTGATTACAGAATAAAAAAAAAAACTAGTATTGAAAGTAATTGGTTATTAAACTGAAATAAATTTTGTGATAAGTTATAAGAAATGTTAAATACAAGTAATTCTTAGATGAGTTTTCTTTTTGTTTTGGAGGAACTATAGCTATTACTATTCTATAGTCATGTTACAGTTTGCAAACAAGCAATTTGTGCTTTTATCAAGTAGATACAGTACTTAGCTTAGTCTATCGCCTCCATTTTGAGGCTGCTGTCGGCACCAATTGATTGTCTTTAATTCCCTGTTGTAATAGGAACATCTCTAGTCTACTTGAGATAGCTAGTAGAACACCTCTTAACTCAAAAAAAAAATCTGGATTAGGGATCAATATTTCAAGACATCACACACACACAATATCATAAGGTCCTATTAAGTGATGAGGATGATGGTGATACTGATGATAGCGATGCTGATGATGAAGACGATAACAATCATCAACATGTATTATATATATACACACTCAGTTCAATATTGCAAAAATATGTGTAAATACTTTAATAAAACTAAAATCTAATAATATATTTAGTTTTCTCTCTCTCTCTTGCAAACCTTTTATGAAAATAGACAGTTTGTCAAAACTTCTTTCTCTCTGTTTTCAATAAAATAAATAAATTCAAATTGTGTTTTGAGTGGGCAAGTGCTCAATGACACATTCCCATGAAATTGATATTTCTGAAAAATTAATTTAGCATTCCTAACATTTTTTTTGTCTGTGTAACCTGTACCTACAGGAATGGATTATGAAATAATTACACGCGCTATTCAAAACAATCTAATTATCCAATTAAATCCCTGCAGAATTGATGATAACAAAGAATTCCAACTAAAAATTACTGTATCAAAAAATTAGTGTACTGTATTAAAATTATAGAATAATCCAATTAAAGTGTAGAACAGGATTGACCTTTGACAGGAGATAATAGGCACTTTACGCAACAGGACAGGAAGACGGGTAGACGGTGGTTTTGTGCTCATCAGAGTGTGAAGACCACAGTAAACAATAGGGCGCTCAATCCGAATTGCCGTTCTCGACGGCTCCCCGTCCTCTTGTGTAAAGTGCCTAATGTTTCTTACGACTGTTTGAGGCACAGTCTCAACCTCAATGGTGCCATAATTCAGGGCACGGCAATAATTTTTCTCCTTCTTTGTTGCTGCATTGTACTCGCACACAAAATATGTTTCTGTTTGGTGTACAGTATACATAATGCATTTAAAATGGCAAGTAAACTAAGTTACTTTTACAGTTTTCCATATAATGCTTCTAAACAGAAGAATGAGTCAATATAAAATTACAAGTTTCAGGCATTGTGGTTGATCTATCTATAATGCAGTGCATCCAGAAATGTCATATGTTTATCAGATTGTTTGTCAATTGCTGAGTGAAACCAGCCTTTGGGAATAATTATAACCAACGTTTCTTCGCAACCAACCATCCATCATCTGACAATGTTATTACTTAATGCCATGCCATTTGTTTCATTTCCTATAATCTCTACAATTATATGTTACAGTTCCTATAAGTATTTTTTGTCATTATATTGCAGTCGTGACGTTTAAACTCTGTTTGCATCCCAGCAGCTTTTTCCCGCTTTTTCCGGCCTTGACTCCTTCAATTTTATAGATTCTGTAACAATATTATTTGCACTTCTTTGAGGAAAATAAACGTTACAGTACTTTTAATTGAATTGAAATAACTTAAACTGGCCAATATGCTCTGTAAATATAGAATATATAGACCATAAAAGTTCCAGCATTATGCGCTGCAGTATATAAAATATATGTAATATTATTATTACATAATTATATGAAATTTTGTAATGATTTAAAACCTGGGTTTTTCATGAAGCATGTCTCATATGGTGTATGACTATACTAAAGTGCTCATATTATATTAATTCTGTTGACGGAATTTAAAGACCTGTAGTCAGACGTGACTACCTTGTTGATTAGTATCAGCACACGGTATTAGGATAGCACTGGGCATCCAATTCTCCCTCCATTAAAGTCAAGTTTTGTTCACACTATCAAATCTTATGTGGAAATTAAATACCTGTGATTTGCCCATATATTGATCAGATGTGATATCATCACATCCATATATGGACATGATATGACACCACCATGCCCATAATACAGGAAATATTAATATAAATATTTGCCACATTAAAAGTGTACTGTAGATATGATGTGTGGACAAAAATTAACGGAAGCACAACTTCATAGTTGAAAATTAGTGTTCTACATCATCCATACTATCATCAAATGGCTTCTCTGCCAAATATTATAGAAAATAAAAACTAATCATTAATTTCATATAATGTGCACATTGGCATTATGAGTTATAAAAAATAAAAAATAAGATAATGCTAAAAATAAAATATTAAACAATGAATGCTGGTTCCTAAAATATAGTAGTTTCTGTACTACAGTTAAATGCACCATCTTGAAGTGCACCTGTACTGCTTTCTTTATCATCTTCACCACCTATACAAGTTGAACCTTTTGGAACTCTAGAACTATCTGATGATGGACTATCCAAATGTTCTCCATTAATTGTGGATTGACTTTCAGAATTGTCACTGACGCAAACGTCACTTATTACTTCGGTAAGCTGTGAGTTGGGGAGTTGTTTAATAGATTTTATTTCACAAATGCTACTCAATTTTTCTGCATCATCCTCGCTGAAGGCATTTTCTGACGAGATATTCAAACTCGATATCTCTTGGACAATTTGTAGCGGCTCACTGGAACTTGATGAATTCGCAATTCGTAATCGAGTTGAACTGGAGCTAAGACCAAACATTACATTTGATGCTTCACTGGATACGCGCCTGTGGGTTCTATACGAAATGGTGCTTTTAGTTTGCACATCGTTTGTCACAGGTGCAGTATCATGTTCCTGAGATTGGTCAGAACAAACGCTATCGTTATCTGATATATTGTCCAAATTCTCAAGGGAGCCTCGTTCTCCCAGAATATTGTGTGGGTCTGGGGGTAAAATTGCTTCCTGTAAGCTCAACGGACGTTTTGGAGTCTGCGTTTTGTTTGGTATCCCTAAAAACATGTCATCCCGTGTGACCATTTCATCACGTGGAGATGCTAGACGTTTTGAGGGCGTAGTCTGCGTTCCGAATTTCAAATGTGATGGTGGTGTGCGGCATTTCTCTATGTGAACCTCAGGAACTGCTTCCGCACCTACTCCAGCAACTCTCTTCCCAAGCTTTACTGACTGAGTTTTCCTTTTTTCGTGAATTTCGCTACTGATTTCTTCGAGATTGTGTAATGCTTGTGAGTAAATTTCTTTTGATCGTGCAACTTTGATCTCTAACGTCCGCACTTTTTGTTTCTTCTCCTGCAAGACACAAAAAGCAAATTAAACTAACATCAAGCTTTATCTACAACAGCAGCGGCACTAGAAATTTGCACGAAGGTGAGAACGAAGCCTCGGTCAACAGCCCCCCACCCCCGTCGCTAACCCCACCACTGATCCACCATGGGTATATGGTGTCTTATGAACATTTTAGCTTTAAAAACTTCAATACAAATCTAAGTAGAATATCTATATAAAGGTATAGGACACCTTTGAAAAAAATGTGATATGCTCATATTTAGGTGCACTATGACAAAAGCCATAGGGCACAAATCTGGTATAAACATTCCTCTACCCTCTCCTTTTTTTCTTTACATTTGCATTTAAGTTTTGATAAATAATGTAATTCCTTGTTTTGAAATAATTCTTAAAGATCTAGTTTATTGTTGTCTACTGCCCCAGGGAGGTCTTCTAGACACTTTGGTAGTTGACCTTGTAGAAGTATATCTGATTGAGTAAATCCGGTTGAGGAATGATGTGATGGATCATGAGCTAAAGATAAAATTAAAAAGCAAGTTTTAACAAAAATATGATGCCATGTTAGATAAGTTACAATAAGTTATCGATTGAATTGACAACACCAAAAGCTGCTAGATAAGACCTGTCCTAGAAAGTTTGCTAAAAAGTCGCAACAGTACACTTATTCTAGGGATATTGCCAACACAGAAGCACAGATGAGTTAAAAGTAGCCAACAAAAAACAGATGTCAAGCAGCAGATACAGGCTCCCCCTGGCAGACTATTTTATATTTTGAAATACCGGTAATCAAAACTAGAGAGAAACAGGATACTTCTATAAAAAGCTTCTGTTTCAGGATTTTTTACTTCTGGTAATTACATTCTAACTGTTTATTGTGTGGCTATGCAATAATCACAAAAAAATTTCTTGTTTTTTTTGTAATCAATTTTTCGTTTGCTTCTTTGTTGCAGCTGACAATCTGGAGACCTCCCAGACGGGCAGGCAATGGAGAGCTTTGGATTTGTGCAACAACGTGACGCTAAAACGGATTCACTCATGAGTGACCGTCACACCATCCTCTGCACAACCTAGATTCGGGGGAAAATCCATGCAACGAGAACTCAACGGGAACTCAACGTTCTTGCATGCGCGGTCCTACCACGGTCGTCGTGCAATTGAAAGCTCTGTAATGACTACTGCATATTAGGAATTAAAATCACACTAGCATAGGCTGGTTTAGCAAATCAATAGTGTAATGACCTTTATACAGTGTAATGACTTTAAAAAAAATATATATATAGTAATATTCTATAATTAATTTGCTAAATTAGCAATCATCGACCTGTGGTGTAAACCATGCGTATCCTTTGCAATAAAAATTTTAAACTAAGTAACGAATGTTATTTTTATACTTTATAATCAATATTGGCAAACCCACATGCAATAGTTCCTCTGATATATGCCCACCTACCTTAAACACATATTGGTCCAATTTTTGGGGGTACAGTAGGCAGGTATACGGGGAATCTCGTTTTTAATCACATGGCAGTTTTTCAGCACTGTATGACTATTAATTCAAAACCAATATCTGATATTTTTTACTAAAATAATATTTGTAAAAACATACCCTTGCCATTTGCCTGAGGAAGGCTGGTACATAAAATTGGGCATGTGGGCTTATTGGGCATGTGGGCTTATACCTGAGAAACTATGTACTAAGAGCAGCTTAGCTCAGTCGGCTAATATGGTGGTAGCCACTGTGTGCACTGAACCATAGGTCACCAGTTCAATTCCCATCACTGCCTCTCCTTGTCTTTCAGCTGGAGGGCTGAAATACAAGTTACAATAGCACACCATCTTTCGGATAAGACGTTTAAGCCGTTGGTCCTGTGTGCATTTATGGCCCATGTGCATTTTAAAGAACGCAGTACACTCTACGGAAAAGAGTAGGGGATTGTCTGCCGGTGTACTGCCCAATCACCACCAGAAGGACCCCACTGGAAATAAGTCTTCTTCTAGACTTTTGTGGGCTATCCTTGGTGTTTACACTGAATAAATCAAATCCAATCAATATGAAATATAGTATAATTCAGCTAAATAATAAGAATGAAGTACTTTAGTCATAACTTATTCAGTTTTCTTTGCCTAAAAATGTTAGCCCTATGGCTTTGTCTTGGTTCACATCATATGCAGATATGTTTTGACCTTACCTCCATCTGCTGGTTGAAATTGCTCTTGGCCTCAAAGTATGGCCTGCAATAAAACAAAACACTGAAAATAAAAATCATATCATGACAGAACTTCACCTGATATTGCTGACCATCAAATATATATTTTTTTTAATCTAATTAAGTTTACATAGTTAATACATATATAGTATTGGTCTGAAAAAGTAGAAATAATGATTATATACCTTATTGAATAAATACAAAAAAAGATACTGTGCAAAGTACCTCACTGCCTCTGCTGCAACATTCTTCTCTCAAAAATAGTTTGACATATCTACATAATCTCTTGAGTCCAGATATCCACTGGACATTGTATATTCAGAAATAAACTAAACAATCAACTAACTTTATTACATGCTGAAAGTAACATAATCTCATTTTCCTTCCATGCTTAATACCATATTATATCATAATCATTATCACTGTAAGATGTTTAATAGATGGTCCATTCCATTAGTGATGAGAGCAGGTACTGTATATAGAGGGTATAATGAAGCCTCGAATGCCAACAAAATAGAGATCACAATACAGTGTTTGTTTTTTTTGTGCTTGTGTACAATTTGATCATTAGGTATTCTTTAATTATAACACACCTAAATAGATCCTTGTCATTTGACTGGTGAATTTCGTATCACATGACATCACAAAGTTGGAAATAACTGTTTAAAAGTTTACTGTTTTTTTTTGGTCCACGAAATACGCTGACCCTGACCCTCACTGCTGTACTTGTTCTTGTTACCAAAACTTTGATAGTCCAAGACGTGCTTTAAATTTTGTACATATAAATTAGAGGTGATTTCCAACAAACGTTTGCCATTTTTTGAGTTGGACCCCAGGGTTCCCCCTACTCTTACAAAACAAAACAGGGGTTTCAAATTTTAAAAGCGTCTAGCATTGCCAGTTTTGAATGGACGTGCAGGAAATTTTGTACACACAAACTAGAGGTGATTTCCAACAAACATTAATCGCATTTTTTTAAGCTGACACCGTGACACCTACAAACAAAACAGGGGTTTCAGCAAGGACTAAACATTACTGCCATTACCCAGTAATAGGGCATGTCGCATGAATGTCGCGGTTGGTTAAGAATGTGTTCTAAAGAACTTAAGGTCATGAGTTCGAATCGCGTCTTGGTATTCTATTTTTTTTTTTAAGAAATTTTATTTTTTTTCAATCTAAGTATTTTAATTTTGTACAAATGATCATTCTAAATAATGTTTTTTCTTTGTACAATTAACGTTCTAATTATTTAAATCTTTTCGATTAATTTAAATAATTACAACATAACAACTTGCGTCTGTACCATATTTAAGTGTGGAGGACGCGCGGTGAGCGGTTGCTTTTGTTATTAACAAATTGTTGTTTGTGTTGAAACTTCTTTATATAGAAAGAAAGGTATTTTTCATAAAGTATCAAGTGACAAGGATCTATTTTATGTGCGTTATAAAATCAATAATGAATGTTTTGTATTCGTGCAATGGGAAAAACAGTCAATCTTACAACTCATGTGAACATTCTTCCTATTGCACTCATCATTCAATATTGTATTACAGTATTACCAAACACGAAAAAAAAAATATCAGCAAAACAAATTAAACTTTATAAAAGGATGGGATGCAGTCTTTTTATATGCTGCATCTGTGCTTTGACTGTGCATGTTGCACCTACAGTATTATACTGATATACTTATAATGATCAATCTTGTTAACAACAACAATATTGGAGTCATATGGAGCTGCCTAGGGTAACTCTTCCTTAAGCGTTAAAATGTACCACATTCCAACATATTACTTAAATAGCCAGTAGGATTTAAAATAGTAACCTTCTGTGCATGATCTGTTTAACCCATATGTGTATACATTATGTGAAATGTTTAGTGATGACATTTTTGTGTTTGAGATTTTTACTGACCATTATGCTTATTAATAACTTTCTTGTTATCAGCAATAAATTTATCAACAACTGTTCAAAAATTTTATTTTGTATAAAAGTGCTCTTTCTGTAATATATCTGCTATTATATTATTGATTTTTAGACTTCCTTTTGTAATGAAAATACACAATTAAACAGACTAATTAAATGTACGCATACAGTAAACAAGAAAGGGCATTACTTGAAGTGAGGTAGTTAAGAAAAGGCATTATACGAGGGCAGCTGTTTTGCAACCTGCACACAACACGTTCTAAATGTTACCAAACGGGTATAGATCAATATTACGGTATGCATATTAGAATTGATATTGTTATTTTTTTGTCGAAAGTGTACTTTACTTTTATTTCCTGATTGAACGAATAAATTTGCGTCTGAATCTGATAGCCAATCACAAGATGAAAATATAAAGTGTAGTATCAATTATGAATTGTTCAAAGATGACCGAGCAAAAATATGTGAAAATAGGTTGTCTTGCAGCTAATATAAATTAAAAGCTTTTGGAAAGGGAAATTCAGGTTTACAAAACAAAGACATTCAGTTTTTTGCACATGTTTGGGTGTGATATGACATTATTATAACAGACTGAAGGCAATTTAATGCTTCTCTTATAAATTAAAGTGCTACTGTTTTCTTTATCTATAATTCAATTATAAAATAATAATTTGTGCCTTGCTTTATGTAATATGTAACATTTTGACTGCATTTACTCCTTTTAAATAATTATTGAGATCATGATTTAACAGTATGTAAACTAGTGAATTATGAGTACAATGAAACTTAATAGATGATGCTCTTCAAATCTTACATGTAGCATAAACTGGGCACACATGAATCCATGTGTTTGTGTTTGACAAAGCCTGTCGGTAACACTATGAGCAGATCATCAAAGATGCATCTCATCGCATTGCGGCCGCCATGGAATTAATTGGCTGGCCATCAGCCAATGCAGTGTGTGTTAGCCTTAGGTGCGGAGTAGTGTTTACTTGAGAAAAACATGGGATTGAAAAACAGGCATCTCATCCACCAAGGTTCCACATGCAGTAGGCAACATTTAACATTTAAAGGCGAGACTTGTTTTACAAACTTGTTTGTTTTAAAGATCATCAGTGGACGCCGGAAAAAAAATAAGAATAACATTTTATTTTCTTATTTAGCAATTTAGTTTTGCCCAAAACATGAAAGATAAATAAATATTAAATTATATTGGTGAATGTAAATTGGATGGTTAAATGGTTTAAATTTATATAATTACGAAGAAATATACACCTCTTATTTTTGGAGATTTCAAGACAGCAGCGGGCATAAAAAAATAAAATAGAACATATTTTTGTGACGCCGGATTTGCCAATTGGCATTTCATTTTTATTCAGAATCATCATTATTGGCAGGCAGTGGGTTCGCTAAACAAGGTTTAAAGAAAGTCTCACCTAAGGGAAGGGAATTGGAAGCTTGGGGAAAAACCCATAGGAAAAGGGCAGGACAGGTTTGCATCCCATAAATACATCAAACGAAATTTAATACACAATTGTGACAAATACAAAATTGGCTGTACTGTAGGAAGTGTGATTATTTCTATATTGAGATACTTAATTGACAATTCATTTATTGTGTTGCCACTGAAACTGGGTAATCAGGGACAGCCTGGAATTTCTATGTAATCTAGTTTTCCAAGCATAATTCACCCAGGTAGAAATCAAGGCTAAAATCCACAAGCCTGAAAGGTGGCATTTAAAACACATCATACATGTTATTCTATTTATTTATTCAACCATATTTCAAGAGGATGACCCATCCAGCGTGAGCTGATTTTAAGAGGCTAACAACAATACAAACAAGATTTAACATAAACATCAACTCTTTTATTATTGTTGTTGTTGTTGTTGTTGTTGTTATTACTGTTCTTGCTGCTGCTGCTTCTGTACAAAATGACTTACAATATATTTAACATTTACTGTATGTATAAACAGGATGTTTAAAAAAAAAATTCAGTTTGACGTCTGCTGCATTGCCATGGAGACAACATGCTGTAGTCAGAAATATCTGTGGTACAAATTAATTATATGTTGATGAAACATTGATTCAATACAATCATTAAACCTTGAACTTAAACAAAATGTTTACAAACATGAAAGTTACCATGACATGGTAATGTACAGACAAGAAGACCAACATGCAGAGACTGAGAAACACAGTACTGAAAAGAAGGTGGACACTTAATATATGACATACACTACACAGAGATCAATGATGACAACTGCATGACAGCAATGACATGGGAGGAAGAAGGCAGGGGTAAAAGATGTGTGCCTAAAACAACGTGGAGGCACACTGTGGTCAAAGGAAGAAAGAAAGCAGGGTGGTCAATATGGAAGGTGGCTTGAACAACAGCCAGGGACAGAGAACTTAGGAGGACGCATGTCACGGCATTACATGCCTCATGGCACGAAGCAGACAGGTAACAGCTGACGTTCAGGGATAGCATACTACACTAGGAACACACTTGTTACCGAATTACAACTGTTACTTACAACAGTACGAGATCGTGCTGGTTGACAATGGTGGTTAACTGTAGCAAGTTCCTACGAATTGACATGCTACAAGCATCAAGTAGCAAACAAGAAAATCATGAATACAAACAAGATGAAAGGAACAACAATGAAATGATAAAATTAAAACATTCGGCGAAACTTAATTATTTTCATACCTTGGTTTAAACAAACTTTATATGAAAGCCAGAACAGGCCAAATCAGTATGTATTTTGCATTCAAAATTCGTATTGGGAAGAGGACGGTGACGATTTGCAAAACAAGGTATGATAAAAAAATTACGCCTTAAAAGATAATAAAAGTAGGAGCCGTATTAGTGTATAGCATAAAATACAAATGAAATGAGTACAGCAGCATCTTCTTTAATTTATTGAGACACAAGCTGTCGCTAGCTTCATCGGGTGAATGAACTGAAAAACACAGGATCAAACTGATCACTCAAAGAAGTGGTCTTTTGCATTAGAAAAAACAAAGGCCACATTAAAAATGTTAGGTACAGTTACGGTTAATAGGTTATATTCACATTCACTAAATGTTATTGTGACA